CCTAATGAAATGCCAGAGCATCGAGGAGCACACATCGCACGTCTGTTAGGTGTTCAGGAGAATCCAGGGTTACGGAAGACGTCCCGAGCCAGATAAGGAAACGGCAATAAAGAATATGCCAGCACCAGAAAATGTGTCGGCTCTTCAGAGTGTTTTAGGTCTTGTCAATTATTACAACGTTTTTGTCCCAAGAATGCACAGTTTGAGAGCTCCACTTAATGAATTATTAAGAAAAGATAAAGAGTGGGAATGGACAACCAAATGCCAGGAAGACTTTGAGAAAATAAAAGAGGTACTTACATCAGATCTGTTCCTGATTAATTACGATCCAAACCTCGACATAATTGTAGCCAGCGATGCTAGCTCTTACGGCATCGGGGCGTGCAATTTACATAAGCTAAAGGATGGATCGGTAAAGCCAATCGCCCATGCATCTAGGACGCTATTACTAGTTGAAAGGGGTTACTCGCAAATATAAAAGGAAGCCTTAGGAATCAATTTTTGCGGTGACTAAATATCATAGATTAATTCATGGTAGGTACTTTTTCTTGCAAATAGACAATCGTCCACTCCTTACTATCTTTGGATCAAAAAGGGTCTGCCAACATATACTGCTAATAGACTGCAAAGATGGGGAATCATTCTCCTCAATTATAACTACAAAATGGAATTTCTTCCATTCACTAAAATCTGTCATGCAGACGGGTTGTCTAAATTAATACCTAAATATGCTGAACCCCTGGAAGACACAGTCGTTTCTGACATAAGAAAAGAGGTCGAAATGAAAAGTACCTTGCGCAATGCTGTCAGGGAGATTCCTATAATAATTGGCGAGATAATAGACAAAGCGTCCGATGATGAGCTAATAAAGGAAGTAAAGGACAAACTAAATAGTAAAGACCAGAATATCTCAGAAGTTTACTCACCCTGTAACGACATACTAATATACGGGGACAGAAGAGTAATCCCGTCTACACTACAGAAAAGAACATTTAAGGAATTCCATGTTGGCCATCCGGGAACTTCAAGAATGAAGAGTCTGATGAGGAGTTACGTCTACTGGATCAACATGGACAAGGATATTGTAAGATCGTGCAAAGGGTGTGCTTTCGCTCCTAAAGCACCCCCGATAATATTCAATTTCTGGTCTAAAACCGACTGTCCGATACACAATGATTATGCTGGCCCAGTTGATGGTTTTTAGTACCTTGTAGTAGTTGACAGTAATTCAAAGTGTCCAAAAAGTCTTTGCATGAACTATTTTCCCGTTTCGGAGTTGTTGACTGTATCGTAACAGACAATGCCACACAGTTCACATCCTGTGAATTTAAAGATTTTTGTCGGTCATTGCTAATCTATCATATTACCACGATGCCATATAACACAAGAAGTAATGGAGAGTCAGATTGTTTTGTGGACACTTTCAAGAGAGCACTGAGGAAGGCAAGAGTTACTCTCATCGATACGGCTATACATCAGTTTTGGCAGGTTTATCGTGTAACCCTTAATAGCAGTGCTCCATCTGTCAAGACGCCAGTGGAGGTCATGTTTGCCAGGAAAATAAAATCGGCATTTGACAAATTTCTTCCGAGTGAAACGTAAGCGGGACATAGGAATGAATTGCTTAAAAAGAGCTTTAAGAACGGTGAAAAGTATTTTTCTTTTATTTGGGAATATTAAAGCTCACTTGGAGATAGGAACAATAGACAAACAAATTGTTAACATGATTTACATTGTTCAGGAACAGAAGTTTATACACAAACGTCATGTAAACCAAATTAAAAAAATGGTATGAAAGCGTAGTCGACAGGGATCCCATACAAGATGACACTATGGATGTCATCTTTGACACGTTTGAGGTTCCAATACCGCAATCAGTGCCAGAGAAGGACCAAAAGAAAAAGAAAATTTATGAAACCTTTATAAATTACCCCCCGAAAAAAGAGAATATATTGAACATCTTTCATTTCATATCATGTCTATAGAAAAGGTAAAGAATGAAAAAAAAAAAAAAAAAAACAACACCTCCTCACTTATGCACAATACGCATTGGATTATTGGAAATTATTAACAATTTATAATTTACTATTAAACTTATCCAATTTTGTATTATTTAGGAAAAATGAAATAGAGAATTTAATAAAAAAGGGATTGTTGTTAACATATAAAATGTTTGTCTTAAAACTAAAAAAGTTATTGGGAACGTAATTCCTGTATATAGCATTTTCAAAATGGTGGTTTCTGATTTTTTTTGAAAAGCTGAAAAGGGATGGGTTGTGGTGCCCTCCCTCTAAAATGTCTTTGTTGGACAGATAGATAAATGGATAAATCGTTTATATATATATATATATATATGTGTGTGTGTGTGTATGAATTACATGTAAATGAAATTCAATACCCATATTATATATGGCCATTTCACCCAGAACGGTCTTGTCAACACCAAGAAGTTAAATAAAATAAAAATATATCATAATATTTTTGTAAATAGATATAAAGAGGATGAAAATTTACAACAAACGGAAAAGGTATTTAAAATGGGATGTGGGAGAGAAAGAAAGAAAAGAGAAAAGAATAAAGAAGGGAGGGGGGATAGAGTAAATGATTAGCGAACGCAAGATGAAAAATTTTCATATTCTTCTATACATAGGCTAACATTGATCTATATTTACACTGTTAAATCTTTTCATGTAACTTCCTTTTTTGTTATTTATTCTTAAAAGTTGACAATGACTTTAATTCGAACTCTGACAGTGTTCAAATACAAGACCTTGTTAGAAAAAATAAAAACAAACTTTTATTTACTTTAATTATTTAGATATTTTTCTAATTTCCAATAGGGAAACCATTTTTATTAGAAAGCCGTCACCTAAATTAATTAAAGAAAAAAGATTCCCCGAAAATGTAATAAAAGAATTTGTCCTGTGTATAATTTTCTTAAAATGAAATCCCTTGACATCCAATTTTAAATTATTACTAATTCGGTAAAATTAAGAAATGGAATTTTTGTTTCCTATTGTATAAAAGTATTTTTACCGGCCTGAATGTCCGAAAATGAAAAATTCGTTCATGGAACATCCAATTTTAAATTCGATTACCGAACTCCTTTTTGGCCGAGTCATTCGGTAATACGGTTATTAAGAAATGGACAAAGACATTCAGGACAATTTATTTATTAAAGACATTTTTTATGTTTAACGTTAAATTTTTTATAGAAATGAAAAAACAAGGTGATTTATTTCCAAGTCTTTGCTGAAATGACGGGGTTGTTTGTTAGAAATAATAAACTGAGAGTATTAAATAAGTGTGGTCATTTACCGGATTTATCCATTCATTCATTCAATACGTCTTGGGAGAAATTATCACTATTCAAGTCAGACTAAAATATATCAGTAATTCCCAAATTTTGCGGTGGAAGAGGATAGCAGGTGAAGCGGAAGGATCGAAAGACAATCAAAGATTGAGAAATAGTTTTTAAAAATTCATATGCCAAAAATAAATATGACTTCAATATTTAAAATATTATGGTTTAATTATGCATGAGTCCCTGTATAAATAATTATTGATCCATTTTATCACTGTAATATTTTATTTATATTCGAATACAAGGTTGTTATAGATGTAATACAATTCCAGGAACCATAAAACATTATTTTTATTTTAAAAAAGTGTTCTATACAAATTATAGCGAATAAGTCTCTAATCACAACCTTGTCAATGTAAGTAATTTTGCAGCCATCGTTGTTTTCTTTGAATAATTTTGTATATTTCTAAGCTTGATGCATGGTTATTTTTTACAGTTTAAATTCGACGGTTCCTGATCTCCTACATAATCTAATATATATTTTAAAGGATAGTATCTAGGTTCGTTATTTGAATTATTATATCCTGTAAAAAGAACGAATATTTTCCTTCAAACGTTTTATATTATAATCAACTTCTTCATTTGACAAGACACCAGAAGTGTTGAAACAAAATGGCTACTTTTGTAGTGATGTTATAACATACGTTATAATTTTTAAGTAATTAATATTTTTTATTTATATCAAGTATTAAGAATATAGGAACAAGGACGTGCAAATTGAAGGCGAGAGTTATCAATGATAATATTATAAATTCGAATCAGTAGTTATCTCCCTTTAACCCTTTTATATGCATTTTTGAAGGTACTTTTTATGCCATGTAATTTGGTGAGACGTCTGCAAATTCCCATTTCGAAAATGCGGCCCAGATAAAAAAAAAATAGTTTGGGAACCACTGGAAGTCCTCTAACTTGAAGACTGGTCTTGATCATAGACTGGATCTGCTCACCCACCACTTTCCAGTAAAAAGCGGCCTTATGGGTGATGAACTATTTTCATTCTACAGCCTTTTCCCCATAAACGAAACTTTGCTAACCTCTTTGCCACGTATTACTCTTTTCATGCTAAATTTCAGAAGATCTACATTCATTTGTTCCACCATTTCAGATTACCACAGCTCGGACCCGACAAACCAAATGAACAGAGTCGACATTCGCTCTGTTTTTTAATGCGGATATTGCACTCAGAACTGTTAGTTTTTCAAAACTCCCGAAAGGCTTTCCCTGACCTCTGCAATCTTCTAGTGTAGGCTCATTTCCTCTTATCACGCCCTTATAACAACGTCATTCATTAATCCTCTAACTTGAGAGACTCTTGGACCTTGTATTGGAGGAACAGTTATATAAAAATATTTACAATCAACACTGCTTGCTTAGAGGCCATAAGATGGTTAGTAGTCTCAGCCGAATTTTATCAGATACAGAAAAATATCATATGTATCAATTCTTCCTTATCCACGTTAGCAACAAAGATTAAAATAAAAACCAGAACAAAATTAATATGAAACAAACAACTAAAAATATTGTTAAGCTTCTGATAAGTAGTTTTAATGGATGGTATCGGCGTAATAGTCAAGTTTCTGTTAAGTAATTCATCAGTTTTGACTTTGTGCTTAATCAAAAACTGCTTGATGTTTTAATGGAGAATACTCACTTTGCTCTTGAGCTGTCACTTCCTGCCATGTCTGTCAAGGTGAAGGCTAAGGTGTATGAATGGCCGGCCGCTGATTTATCTGAGCAAAATATATTTTGAGTGAATCTTAGCAACCGTCAAATTTTACGGTTGAATTCGTCAGATAATTTTTATTACAGGATCTATCAGATAAAATAATTTCACAGAAAATATATTATTCTCTATCTGTACTAAAAAAAAATAATTATAAGCTATTTCACATCCAGTGAGCGATGTGAAAATTGCCGCCATTTTATATTTTTAATTTCACGCATGCGCGTTCTTTGTTGTTGATTTTTTTTTTCGACACGGTATAGTAGGGTCAGTTGGGCACCGTCTGTGAGAAAAAGAGCGCCATATCGCAATTTGCTTCGCCAGAAATTTGGAAACAACATGCTGTACTTCCTGGCATTCCCGCCTCAAACTCCAATACTAACATTTAAGAGTGTTTCTGTGTCAATCTGAGTGCAGAAGATTCAGAAAAAGATGGATAATATACTTAGTCAACACTGATAGCGACATTATGCCTCCATTCATCTTCCCATTAGGCACAAACACAGGGGTCTACATCAAGTGCCTTGAGGAGGTAGTGCTGCCCTGGGTCATGGCTGTCAAAGAATTTTGCGACCACATCATCCCTTGTAACACTCTCTCTTATCGGAAGGTGTTGAGCAGTGTGGGATCACCTCTTAATTGATTCTGTTCCCAGGTCCACACAGACTCAGGGTGGTAGTACCTGTCAGGGTCAGAGTTATGGGTAAATAGTTAACCCCTCCAAAGTGGGGTCAAAACAGTATGAAAGTGTATAAATACATTATTATAGTAAAAGAAAAAAACATACCAGAAATGCGTTTGGGAAAAGAAATAAATTACCAGCAATGCCTTTTTACAAGGGTAAAATATTACCAGTAATGATGCCTTTTTTGTAGAAAAAAAAAAATATTACCAGTTATATATTTTGGAATATAATATATATATATATATATATATATATATATATATATATATATATATATTTGGTTGGATCTCTGATATTGAGCGCTTTCTAATAAGTACCGCTCATATAATATAAATAATATATATATATATATATATATATATATATATATATATATATATATATATATATATATATATGTATGTATCCAAGTTCCAAAATGGAGTATTGCTGCTATATATGGGCACAGTATCTAGTTTGGAAAAGAGTAAAATAATAGTCAATAGTGTAAAAATATACAAGGTAGAGTAAAAAAAAACAAACAAAAAAAACGTCTACACATCCTTGTAGGTGACAACATTTTTTCTACCGTACAATACTTTTCTCACTGCTCTGCATGTTTCCATGGAAAGTTATCAGTCAAACTCTATTCCTTAGTTCCACAGTTCATATCAGCACGGCTAAGATTCGCCATGCCATGCATATTTCCTTAGTATTCTATTGGTGACATGAAAGTTCGACTCGATAAGTTTCTTCCCATGATCCGCTGCTCTGATTGTGTTTCCCCGTTGACTATAGTCATAATCTGTTCAAGTACAGGGTTTAGCCATTATCTTCCTCATATATCCACATAAACTGTTACTCTTACTATTTAACCCTCAATGTGTAGTCGCTGTCGGACCTCATTCAGAGTGAACATACCTGTAAAAGACAATTGTATTTATTAGGTTTTCTTTGTACAAAAGATACAGTTTTCGAGGGCCAATATTGGCCCCGTTCTGAGTGGACACGCGACAAAGAAGAAGAAGAAGAAGAAGAAGAAGAAGAAGAATGTAAATGAGGGAGTGAAAGTATCTGACCTCACCTGATATCCTCTACCTTTCCAGAAAGTACCTGCCGTCGCTTGATATCCTCTACCGTTCCAGCAAGTACCTGCCGTCGCCTGATATCCTCTACCGTTCCAGGAAGTACCTGCCGTCGCCTGATATCCTCTACCGTTCCAGAAAGTACCTGCCCTTCGCCCGATATCCTCTACCGTTCCAGGAAGTACCTGCCCTTCGCCCGATATCCTCTAACGTTCCAGAAAGTACCTGCCCTTCGCCCGATATCCGCTACCGTTCCAGAAAGTACCTGCCCTGAGAAAAAGCAGAAGGGAAAGGGGGCGGAGTGGAAGGAGGAGAAAAATATTTTTTTCTTTTTTTTTACAATTTTATGCTGAAAATTTATTTGCTAAGAAGACTAAGTGAGCCATGGAACTTTCAGGCCGTTCGACGTTAATTCCGAATACGATTACCGAATTGAAGTAACTTCGAACCTGGTCAGTAACTCGCTGAGTTGCCTCTTGGAAATACCAATTTCTGTGTGCTGGGATGCGCGGTTGGATAACGACTCGGAAAGACCTTTTTCAATTATAGTTGCGGCTCGTGACATTCACTTACGCGCAAATACTCATGGGAAGGGTATGAATCCAAATAAGGATTAAATAGTATGACTTATCCTTATTAGCTCCCCCCCCAAATGTTTTAAATCTAAAAAAATATTTTCAGTCTTTAAATAACCTTGAAAAGGTAGATAGGCCGTAAACAACAATCTGTCTGTTATAAATAATCAATATTGGTCTCCCCTTGTTTTGTTACTTTCTTCTTTGAGAGCTCCAGTTCTGTTTACTGGGATGATAAAAGGACACTATACGCGGACCTTGTATTCTCAGTTGAATAAAGCTTAAATAAAGTCTACACCTGTGTATTTTTGTCATTACACTGTCAATGTTTACTCTAAAGTTCAACACGTCTTTCTTTTTAAAATTGTATTTAATCCTCATCAAATTTTGATGTTTGATTATGTCAATAGGGATTTTGAGAGATTGGTCGTACTTAGAAGATTGTTAATTCTTCCATCGTATTTTATAAAAAAAACCGTATCACATATACTTTTTTTTTGTTGAGTTAGACGTATCAACTTCGTTTACTATAGCCGACGGCTTATTCTGTCGCAGCGGACTAAACAATTTGTTTTAGATAAGCTTAATTCTATTAGTCGATAGTAATATAATTAGTCAATTTTGAAGATATCATCTCACATTAGCGTTTAACGTATCCCGGCTGTGTTCAAATTATTACCAGAGTTTCTTTTTTTTAAAGAATAAAGAAAGAATATCTCAGCGTGAAGATAAAACAAGTTTCTCTTATCACCAGTCAGAATATTAGAGCTAACCTTGCATTCTTAATCTTCTGTTCCACTTGTAATTCTACATAATACATCCTTGCTTGATATATATTAAGTATTCCTATCGGTAAAATCAGTTTAAATTCTAAGGGTTGGAGGACTATACGTTATATCAACGTTTGATGGGTTATTGGAAACTGAAATCAATTTCTTTCTTAATGTGTTTCCGGATAATTGAATATATAGGGAGAAATTAGTAGAGTTGAAATTACGACTATTATGTAAATATTAGTCAAATTTATACATGATAAACGATGTTTCTGTTGATACTTGAATCTATAGATAAATATTTCTCGAGATTTCGCGTGAGTCGATTGGGAAACATTCGTCTGGGTTACATGATGGTCGGCTGGAAAGTTCCTAGGCTGACCAAGACGTAAATTTAAGTAGACATATTTGGTGGTCGACTAAAAGACAGGCATAAGAAGCAGAATATAAAAGCTGACCGACGATCTGTTTTATTCTGGTACGCATTCGTGTATTTTATTCAAGAATCTGGTGTGTCTACTGACATTTAAATCTTGGTCAGGCTAGGAATTCTTCAACTGTTCATCTTACATGAATCCATAGGTAAACTTTCGTAAGGTTGATACTTGAGTCCATAATTAAATATTAATCGGGATTATATTTAATCCTATAGGTAAAGATTAGTCGATGTTATACTTGTCCCCATAGGGAAATATTGGTCAGCGAGTCTGTAAGCAAATATTTTTCGTGTTTATAATCGAATATACAGAAGAAATTGCATCTTTTTTCATGTCCATTTGATGCTGAGTATTTCAACGCAAACCAAGATTAAACATCTTCTGCTATATGCCATACTCCTTCAGGATGTTGACGAACATGGCTCTCCACAATTTCCTGTCCTTTGTAGCTCTTAATAAATTTTGTCTTTTTGTTTTCTTTCCTAAACCTTGTTCCGCCACCTGTTTAGCAAAATTCGTTAGGTAGAGTATGATGTGATTAGGTAGAGCAATCTGTACTGAGAGTATCAAATTTTCAAAGCTCTCTTTCCTCTTCATGTGCCTGAAAATTTCAATTATCTCTGCGTAATGTTCTGTTTTATTGATTTTTTTCTTTAAAACCTTCACTGATGCTCACATGTTAATTTCGAGGTATTCTCAGCATCCTTCTGTAGAACTAAAATCTTCTGCTTCTTCATTTTTGAGGAGATTATCCAGTATCCACTGCTATAAATGAGGACTGGTGCTATATAGAAGTATCCTTTTTAACAAAGATCGTTACTAGACACTAATAAATACTTACTCCAGTCAGTCGATTCTCTACAGATTACAACAGTTAAGTAGTGTCGGTTCTTGTCAATATCAACATATGTCACTTTTTAGAACTGGCATGGGCAACATTTTCCGACTAGTGGGCCGCCTGAGATATGGTTCATCATAAAACGGGCCGCAGTATTAAAGAAAAAAATTCAAAGTAATTTTTCGTTGAATTAAAACGAAAATTTTCAGTAAAGAAAAACGCGTAACAACCTGTCTTAGAAATGGGGGGAAAGATATCTTTTACTTGAAGAAAATCTATTGACGCAATTTAAAAATTGAAAATTTCGTATAATATTAACAGTGATGACTCTATGATTAACAGACTCTGTTGTGTGTTATTTGTTTCTGGTTTATTCAGTTGACAATACTTTATAAAATATCTTATAAAAAATATATATATATATTTGTTTTACAAAGAAAAAAAAGGAATTTCTGGTTGCTAAAGCTAAACATTTTTACACGTATGATCTTCATTAATGAAAATCGCCAATGGTTTAAAATGCTGAAAACGTTACTTTCAACGAAACGTTAAGCATTTAAGAAAAATCGGACTTAATCATTATTATGGGCATGTTGTAGTCGGACTCTGACTACAGCGTAACAGGCATTAATAAGGACGGTTCTCTGCCATTAAATCGTTATTTCTCTTTGATACCAGCTTCTCTCAACCTCTTTCCGTGAGAGAGAATATGTGAGTTAACAAGTGAGAATGAATAAAGCGCAAAATTATAATAAATGTTATTTTATCATTAAATTAGGCAGGTCATTCAGAAGGTCATTCAAAAGGTCATTCAAAAGGTCATTCAGAAGGCGAAACGGGACGCATGTTGACAACAGGCCTCAGTTTGCACATGAATGCTTTAGAAATACTGCCTCCTGTGCGAACGTAAACAAAACTATGAAAAGTACTGAAAAGGAAAACGCATATATTTATGCATTTCATCCCAAGCAAGGCAATAATGCCTCTAAGAGGCCAAAAGTTAGCGAAAGTGAAAGAGAAAGAAAGGACTTCTTTGGGGAGAAAGCAGAATGAATGTCCAGGATCAGGAAGACAAGTAGAGATTGACGTTACATTTAAATTTGTGAAGATCGTATGTAGCAGAGAAGTAAGGAACTCGAAGATAGTTCCACAGGGGAGAGTTCCGAGAAAAGCTATTTGAACAGAATATACGCTTGCATCTAGCTGTTTTAACAGTAAAACGATGAAAGATATCTGCCAATCTGGTAGTAAGCTCCAGTTCATGCGGTCGAAATAACAAGAAAGTGAACTTATTTGAACAACTGCTATGAAAGCATTTATAGAAAAGGAAGCTGAGAGCTACGTCACAATGAGACTGACCGAAATCGAGATGCCAGGCCAGAGCCCATAGAATTGTATTTAGATTTTGTTGAGATATATAGGAATCAATGAAAGTTTTATGATTGTGCAAGATGGCTCGTAGCGAGGGAAATTATCTAACACCAAACAGTGAACCAAAATTTTTAGTAGCAGTGCCAGCAATTGATTCAGCGTAACCATTCCATAGCATATCAGTGGAAAACCTGAGACAATGAAGCCGCAAGTTGTGGCTCTCCTGGAGTTTAACATCAGCCAAAATTATGGAAGACAAAATGTCTTCTCTATGAAGATTAACAGAGAGCAGTTATGTTTTGAAGGTTTTCAAATTCATACGCCATTTCTTGCCTTAGTTAAGAATTGATTGCTGGACATTTTCGCGAGAAGTTTCCAGATCTGTTAGGATTTTCGTAAAATAAACTCCAATTTTAGAATCAACTTTTATTCATGAATTAATGTATTTGAACTATGTTTAGATCAGGAAACATGAACATCTATACATTTCTGTGATCGAGTTATAAGATTTGTGTCTTTGAGCAAAGGTTTGTACGTGAAAAAAAAAATCTATGAATGCATCTTCTTTGCAACCGGATGACCTTTTATTTAAAATTAACAAGATGCTTGAAAATTTGGTTTTGAGTGGGTGAAAGATCAGGGAAATATAATCGATGAAGTCTGTGTTCAAGACATCGGTGTGATTCTGCAGTGTCAGGCAGGCAACATGTGACCGAGCATTATCCTGAAGCACCATTGAACCTCGTCGATTCACCAGTGGCGATTAACCAGTGTCGATTCACCAGTGGCGATTAACCAGTGTCGATTCACCAGTGGCGATTAACCAGTGTCAATTAACCAGTCGATTCATGTGGCGATTAACCAATGTCTATAACGATTCGGATTGAGGATTCGGAAAGCTGAGTTCGAATTCCAGTCGAATCTATTACATTCACTTGCTAATACCCTTGGGAAAGGTATGGATCCATTTGGTTTTCTCTCCCCCTCAGCTATGGGTAAAATAGCAGGACAGACCGTGTTATACAGCGTTGGATGGCGACTATCGTAAAAAGAAATGACCACTTATTGCGGAAAAAAAGATCTAATTCGTCAGTCATGTATCGAAAGATACATGATCGCCTACGCGTGTATCACGCATGGAACACAACTAAAGTGATTAAACAGTGCCGATTAACTATTTTTAGTCGCGTTTTGTTTAAATGAAGGAACATTCTCTCCAGACTGTCAACATAATATTGGTGTCATTTCGGTTTTCGAAAGTGTTTGGGTGCAAGGTTAAGCTATTGAACTGACCATTTGCCATGGTCACGAATCATACATTTTCCAAGACACTATACGAGCCAGAAATAGTTCATTCGAATTTCTTAGATAAAGCATCTTACAGACTTCAAAATTTCGAACTCTGACTTTCAGAGTTCATGTGGAACCCCTTTTATCGAGTTTTTTTTTCCGATGTGGTTGAGATACAGGCACTAATCATCTGAAACATCCCTCTGACATTTTGACGCGGATTTCGTTCGACTTGTGTTTTGAGGTGGTGATTTTCAACTGCGGATGAATGTTGTCTACCATCTTTATCTTCAAGTCTCGCATCTCCAAAGCGGATATAAAGAAACAAGTGACGTACTCTCCGATCTCAATTGAATTATTCAATCATTTTCAGAAAGGATTATTTTCAAGTTTCAACTCATGGAAACAAAGTAAAAACATCTCTTCTTTTGCCATGATTAAAATGAGAGGAATATAATGTTATAAGTAAAATTCTTAAAGAGATTGATATAAAATTAACAAATAAGACACAAAGAAAAACGGCCTAATCATATATCGGGCCTATATAATCACTTACACATTTTCGTAGATAATGTGGTTTGTATCATATATGGAATTATATTTTAAAACTTTTAATATTTGCTGTATATCATACAAACTGTAAAATAAGTCAACAGCTCTAAAATGCCTATTATATCCTACACGAGTGCATTAGAATTGAGGTTAATAACCGACTGTTTCTAGGTACGTGTACATTATATATACGTATGTGCTTCGTGTCATGCCTTCAGTTATTAAATAACTAGTGTGTCCGAGCGTATGGTTTCTGCTAATAATTACACCAGATTACGTACAGCCTCCAAGAAATTGTAATGAAGATCTGCTTTGTGTTGTTACAGTATAATCTAGGGGTTCGCATTGTAGATAGTGAAGAACTAGAAAAATACCCGAGCAATAGTCTATGTCATAGAGAACAGTATATTTTCCCTCGAGTAATAAATGTTTCCCAAGTGGCTTTTGCTTATAATTTATTCTGCTTTCTATATTGGAATATAAATCAGTCATATAATCTATCTATCTATCTATCTATCTATCTATCTATCTATCTATCTATCTATGCCAATATGTTCATTATCTATCGATCTGTCTATCTGTCCATCCATCTATTTCGATGTGATCATATCTATTTATCTTAGTCTGTTCATTATCTATCTATCTATCTATCTATCTATCTATCTATCTATCTATCTATCTATCTATCTATTCCAGTATGTTCATTATCTATCTATCTATCTATACCTATATGTTCATTATCTATCGATCTATCTATCCATCCATCTATTTCGATGTGATCATATCGATTTATCTTAGTCTGTTCATTATCTATCTATCTATCTATCTATCTATCTATCTATCTATCTATCTATCTATCTATGCCAATATGTTCATTATCTATCGATCTGTCTATCTGCCCATCCATCTATTTCGATGTGATCATATCTATCTATCTATCTATCTATCTATCTATCAAGCCACTGAGCCGATCATTTGCCATGGTCCTGAAAGATACATTTTTCATCCCAAGAGACTATATGATCCAGAAATGGTTCATACGAATTTCGTAGATACAGCATCGAACACACTTCAAAATGTTGAACTCTCTGACTTTCAGAGTTCACGGGAAACCCCTTTATCAAGATTTTATTTCACCTTGCCAATTTTCATGAGTTAGTACGTTGTAGGTGAGATGCACACACCAAACACCTGAAACATTTCTCTGACATTTTGACGCAGATTTCTTTCAACTGGGGATGAATGTCATCTACCACCTTCATCTTCAAGTCTCGCATCCCCAAAGCGGATATAAAGAAACAAATGACGTACTCTCCGATTTCAATTGAATTATTCACTCATTTATAGAAAGGATTATTTTCAAGTTTAAACTCATGGAAACAAAGTAAAAAAAATGTCTTCTTTTGTCATGATCAAAATGATAGGAATATAATGTTGTAATTAAAATTCTTAAAGAGATTGATATATAATTAACAAACGAGACACTACACACATTAGAAATACGTAATATATATTCATACAACTGTTATAATGATAGTGGAACGCAAAACGTTTATTCTTCAATCGGACGTTATTTTACGAACGGCCTAATCCTTTATCTGGCCTATAGAGGCAATTACTCATTTTCGTAGGTAAGGTGGTTTGTATCACATATGGAATTATATCTTAAAGCTTTTTAATATTTGCTGTATATCCTATAAACCGTAAAATAATTCAACAGTCCTAAAATGCCTATTATATCATTATGTGAAAAGTGTATATATATAAATATAAATATATATTATTATTTATATATTATATGCGGGGTACTTAATAGAAACCGATCAATATCAGAGATAGAGCTAACATATTTGGTTGGATTGATGTGAGTTTGTGACCCTGGGTTTCACGCTTTTGCGATCGTCAGACAAATTTTGGATTTATGTAGCTTGCGAGTATTAGTGTTATTATGGAAGTGGAAGGGAAATCGTCGTCGTGATGTCACTCATGCTAACGCAAACATAGATGCATGTCCGTACACCCATTGAGACACGCAGACACACATACACACGCGCTCACCCACCAGGGATCACACAAACATAAATATATGTGGACAGTAGGGGACTTAATATATGTATGTATACGTGTGTTATTGTCTACAAACATACGCATTTGGTTGCTGAATTTCAAAGATGGAATGTGTATCCATTTTTCTCGTGAATGTAGACATATCAGCAATCAGACCATTTCTCTATTCTTTCGCTGAATAATATTTCCTCTCAGGCACGTATATACGTGTTGTGGGGTCTGTGTAAAACTATGATAGGTAAAAAATGCTATTATTTTTAATATTTTAAGATTGATTTGTTAATATTTTAAAGCTGGATATTTGCTTTTTTTTGATGACTGCATATATGTAACTGGTAGAAATTGCAGTTCGTAATCCTTATTGGTTTTTTATATGGAGGTATTAAATATGCTGGGGGAGTAATTTACGTTACTAATTATAGCGGATTAATATGGTAATAGTAGTTGTGATGTGGTAGTAATATTGTTGTGGGGTTGGTGGTAATGATAATATTAGTAGCTATATCCTATATGAGTACATTAGAAATGAGGTTTAATAACCTTATTTTTTTAAGGTACGTGTACACTATTTATATATACGTATGTCTTTCGTGCCAAACCTTCAGTTATTAGATAATGCAAAATTGATAATACTCGTAATTGTAGAATTTCTTTTAACCTTTTAACACAAAATATTTATCAACGTTAATTCCAACTTGAAAATTACTGGCATTGTTTATAGGAAATTGCACGCAGTGACGATAGGAGATATATTTAATTTTCTGAAAAAGATATTATTTTTATATTTTTTTTAGATGTCTAGGATTCATTGATTGGAATTATATAAATTACATTTTGCTTAATATCTTTTCATATTAAAAGTTTTATGCGTTTAAAATATCAATGACACGAAATTGAAACACCTCAAGACGGCTAGCGTCGATAACGCCTCTCTTGAGATAAATTTAAGCAAGACGCTCACTTAGCAGACGAAGGTAGCAGAATATCTTACAAGAAAGGCTTGAACAAAGAGCATTTCAGTCTAGAGGGTGGGACGAAAGCCTTGTCATCTTTTACTAAAAAATAATGAGAACGATAGAAGAACAAGTAATAGAGTTATACAAAGCACATGTACTGGATTCAATTTATTTGCTTTTATTGACGCTATCACACACTGAGAAGCTTTGATAGAACTCATGTTAGCCATTTAAAATAGAAAAGTATATTATGTAGAGGTGACAAGACTATCGGACCAGCCTGTATATGTCCATTTAATAATTTTAAGGGGTGGGGGTAGCATCATATAAAAAAAAAGATAAAATTAGAATATCTACTGCTGGCGATGCCGTTGACCAAACTAGAGAATGGTCCGAAAGTCTCATCACTCCCTACGAAAAAGTAACGAGAATATTAGAAGAACAAGTAATACAGTAATACAAAGCACATTTAGTTTATTCACTTTCATTAATGCAGTTTCACATGGAGAAGTTCTGTATGAACGCCATCGTTTTCGGGGCACAAAATGATGCGGTAACATTTTACGAAGAAGCTGTGCTTTGCTGTTTGTTGCAAAGGCTCTACAAATGGCGTCCTTCAGTTGACGTTTACTCTGGTATGGATCATATGAAACTCTCTCCTTGATAATACCCCACAGATTGTTGTCGCAAGACGTGGCGGCTAGACTTATGAAAGGCCAATCGACAGGTACATGATGTTGTTGCGATTATGTACGGATGACAAGACTTTCAGACCACATATAGAATAAAGTATTCTCAGAGTAATTAATTCAACAAAATATTTATAAGAACCGTAGTGATAAAGGAATTACTTCTTGAAATAGATAATTATTAGCCTCTGTATAAGTTGTAAGTTCTAAAATGCATGGATTCAGGCTCTTTTTTCTTCGATTTCAGCAGTTTGATATCAAAAGTTAAGACAAGCAAGGAAATCTTTTTAAAAATATGTTGTTAGAATCAATAGAGTAATAAGGGAAGTAATTGTGTAACCACTTCAGTGGCGCCTGCTTAAGTCAAAGTACTAAAGAGGAAAGCACATCAGAATAATAAAAAGGACACACATGGTAACTACGTGAAAATAAGAAAAGAGAAATGACACGCGTTAGATATGTTACAGCGCTGAGAAATAGACTGAAGCTGAAATGCCAAGCCGAAACAAATAAATACTAAAAGAACTATTAGTATTTAGCACTACAATAAACATTTACAGTTCTTACTAAAAGGAGCTAAATAGAAAGCTATGCAACAAAAATTGCACTATATTAAAATATCTATAAAAAATATGCTTTTGAGCGTTTGTATTCTTCACACGCGGGAGCAGAGAGGCATGAAAATTGTTACGATTTCCAATTCATAGTTTTTCTAAACGTGCTTTTCATGGTCAACCACCGCTAGACCGCCTTGTCTGTGCTATTATTTAACACATAGGTAAAGGAAGAATAGATGTAGCCATACCTTTCGTAAATCTATTTCCGGGAAAGTGAATGTAATGAACTTGACTGGAATTCTGGCATCCCGCTCTCACCCCTTCACTGTCGAAACTCCTAAATGTAGCCGTCTTTTCTACTCTAATAGCTTCATGTCTCGCACCTCTCGCCTGTGGAACTCCCTTCCCTTTTCCTGTTTCCCTGCAAGCTATAATCTCCAGCTATTCAAGTGTAATGTCAATCGACATCTCCAGTTGCCTTGATCTACCCACTACACTCATCCTTTCTTCTATCACTCCAATCTGATCTTGCTCTAAATTTTCTGTAACCCCTTGCGTC